TGGAAACTGGGTCCAGCGTCCCGTGAACATTGTGAATAAGGCATCAACCGGGACCCCACACACACATTCTCTTCGAGTTGTGTATAGCGAACATGACAAAACATACATACAACAGATTCACTACCTTACCCTTCCCGAACCACATAAACAAACGACCTACGGGCTGCGCACCCGTGCCCTCACGGTAAGTCAATGCTCTTATGGGCATACGCAGCAAGACCATTTCTATTCGTGCATGGGCCAGCAGCGAAAGCAGCAGGCCTGATTCTTTTTTTTTTTTTTCAAAGGGGTAACGGCCTTGAGATGTTATCATCGAACTGACCGAACGTGGGAACAAGAGGGTCCGTGGGAACAAGAGGGTCCGTGGGAACAAGAGGGTCCTTGAGCTAGCTGTCTCGAAAAAAGGAGACAGCTCAGTCATCAGGACATTCAACGAAGATCAACGACTCACAAGACAAACAGCCAAAATCTACAGAGTTCCACCTCTCGACCTACGGAGTCCCATCGGGAGACGTGACACTCACCCAAGTTGAAGAACGGTCTGGCCAACCCGAGTGGTACTGCTGCCTTGACCAGAAACAGTATAAGTGACAGGGGTCTGGCCTGTCACCACAGCTTGTGGTGCCACTCGCGCTGCACCCTCCAGACTGCGCCCGCTCGCAGCACTCATTGCATATGCGAACCTGCGCACGAACACAAGGGGTCAGGTCCTACGGAGTGTGAGTCGATTCTTTTTTTTTTTTTTTTTTTTTTCAAAAAAAGAGTATATTATATCATCACAAGCTGGGAAACGGGCCCAACGTCCCTCACATCATCAACCATGGCCTGCGGTCTCCTCGCCTTTTGGCGGGGGACTGATTCTGCCAGTCTACGGGTCCTACGGCAATCAGCTTCAATCCTTCGTCGGTCAGCGTCGTCAAGTCCGGTCTTCCGCTAAGCTTGTCAACTCCAGTCGCTCGCTGATCTTTTTTTTTTTTTTTTTTTTTTTTAATGAGGTGTCGGGGCCATTACCCGGCTTCGGCTAAGAATCTTTTTTGATGAAGAGCTAAAAAAATGAATACTACGCTATATCAGCAATTCCAGCTTCCTAAACATAGAGCAACTCCTAGCCCTCCCTATGCCAGGACATTACTACTCAAAAACAGTACTAACCAGACCAACATCAGCCATAGCTGACCTCTTCTCGCCACCAAGTCAATCCCCGACCCCATAGGGTGTCAAAGCGGCCCCCCGCAATTCGCCACTGGCTTACCTTCCTCCCTTGGCAAACCCCAGATCTCTCTACCAGGCCTCACACTCCTGTCATTGCAGGTTATAGGGTATCACCCCAGCTCCGGCCAGCGTCGTTCTAGCATCGGCAAACTGAGGGCACAGAACAGAACAACTCTCCCGATGTCAATCCAGGTGCAACCATCTCTAAAATCAAATATCCTAATGAAGAAGAAGACCAGATGTTACTCTAGCTCTCAGAACCCCGGAAAGCTTAATATAACATAATTTGTCCAAGAAGCTTCCAAGAGTCACCGTGCAGAGAAACTTCTCCTTGCCCACACACCTTGTTCCATGCTGCCACCGCCGAGGAAAACCACCTCGGCCCCAACCTGGAATAGACCCCCTTCCTCCCCCCCCATCCACAAAGGCAGTCAATTCCCTCTTAGAGGATACCTTCGCCGTCCCCTTGTCCCTATCTGCCCTCGCCAGGGTTGAGGGCGACCAACTCTCCCACCCCGGCCCCAGACAAGGACAAAACCACAAATCTGCTCCACCCCCGACAGGGCAGCCACCTCCCACCTTGCAGCGCCCCTATAAAGTAAGGCTCCCCAATACCAACCCCCACCTTTCCCCCAAAAATCCAAACCGTGACCACAGAAGCCCTATCCCGATTAAAGCACACCCATCAGATGAAGCGGCAAATTAACCTCGAGAAGGATCTCATGAGAGCAGTGTATAGTTGAGTAAGATTTTATGATGGAAATCCCAAGATGGAAACACTCAAGAGAGTAAACACGAGAAAAGAAAAATCATGATAGACGCACCGAAAAAGAAGATACTAATTCCTGACAGGAACAATGCCCTAAGACGATAGGGTTATAAGGAGAGTAATGGCGAGTGAACTCACCTGCAGATGGTATCGGTAATGACCCCCTAGTGAGGGTTTGAATTAGTGATGATTTTTTAAGGATGATAGTAATGATGACGATAACGATATCGATGATAATGCCTTAGATGGTAGTAATGACGATGATGTTTATTGATAACTTGTGATTGGATGGGTGACCGAGAACAACACCTTAAGACTGAAAATTTTAAGGATGATATTGGCGAGCGGACTCACATGCAGATAATATCAGTGACGTCTCACTAATAAGGAGTGCAGTTAAGGGAAATATTTTATAGGGATGATGGTGGTGAGGATGATAATGATGATGATGGTGATGCTACAGATAGAGGTAATAACGAGCAACACAGTAATGATGACGCTAGTAATGATAAGGCCCACACGGAGATGTAATGATGACAA